ATCAGGATTATCTTCAGTCAATAGATAGTGAAGAGCAACCGCGGCACAAAAACTGTAAATCTGCAAACTACTTAATGAGTCCGGGTATATACATCTTTCATGGTCAAAAGACTGGGCCCGCTTAATTTGGGGTCATCTTAATGCAACGATTGAGAATCAGAGATAACAAAAAGAAACTATTAAAGCTATGTCTACAACTCTGTATCCTGACCTCTGGCGTGTAGAGACTTAATGCGATGGATTAAAGTATGTTGTCTTGAAAAAAGAGGTAGGTTTTACACCTGGGTAATTAGCGCAAGACAAATCCGCTTGAAAGCCCAGTGCAGTCAATGTTTTAGTCTAGCAGGCTTTTACTTTGCCGACGCAACTAAATTGAGTCTAGCAACGATTATTCGCTAAACTGACTAGCTTACACATTTCTTTACTTCCATTCTAAAGGAAATATGTTGTTTTGTTTTCCAAGCTAATATTAACCGACTGATTCTCTTAAAATGTCGTGGCTTCTTGCTTTGTCCCTCTTTCGGCGGTTTAGCAAGGTTCGCATTATTTAAGAACGAACATTACATGTAAGTGTCGAAGCCGAGTTATTAGCTACTTTCGTTCTGTGAATGACCTTTACTAAGCTCTTCACAATTTTAAAACAGGTCATTTTGCTTCTCAAGTTAATCCTTTATTTCTGCACGTGCATAAAGTTGGCAACGGTCAACTAAACGTGTATGTGATCCAAGACCAGCTCATACAAATCTATCAAAAATGCAAAACTTTTGTAGTAGACCTTCGTCCACCGAAGACACTCGCATGGGTGTATATACACTCTTAATGTAACTCACGTTACGGTTGAGCTGAGCTCTAAACCAAAAGCACTGATTGTTTGTTGCTTAAGCTAAGTTAAACTCTCATCTCAATGGACATGATTCGAGTCGCATTGCATACGTGTAAGTATTTAAAGAATGGGTTGTTCGTGAGCGGTTTTGATAATGTATACCAATCCACCCATCCTTTCTCATTTTTCATTGTGAGGGCATCCGCCGAAGAAAAGTAAGGAATAATGTTTAATACTTTGTACACCCAGAAAACAACTTAGAGCTCTGTTTAATACGTGACCGGCCTGCGAGTATTTCTCAAAACTCCCAAAGAGTTTTCGGGCCAGGAAAGTACTTTTTCAGGCATCTATTTTTTCTATTGAACCTTGGGAGATTTGTGCAAAGTAGGCATATACTTCTCCATCTTCATATTCTTCTCAATTTTTCCATCGGCAATGAATTAAAACTTAAAGTGATTCTTATGAATTTTATGTATTTCAAATTGTTTTTCTCGACCGAAATGTTTCCTTGAGTTTTGAGAGTTTTGAGCGCCTAGGCTGAGAAGTTCGAACGACGGTTAGCGCAAATGCAGGGATAGTTCCCATGCCAACTCGTACTTGACGCCCTTTAGGCCCCAATATCCACACACAAATTCTCCAAATTGACCTCCATACCTTTCCATAAGTTTCAAGTTGAGAGAATTTTATAAAAGATCAAGAAATTTTCCCTCTTGTCGATCACGTTTTAATCTCCTAACCTTTTCTTTTGGTGATGTAATTGTGATACTGTAAGGAGAATATTGATATTGGTACTTACAAGGGTTTAAGTTAAAGCCTTCAAACAACTAGGACCACATTTGAATTTTTTTGCAATTGCTTGTTCGTGAGGAAGGATGCAACTAAATTTCAGTAGAGCCTCTCCGAGGGGGGGGGGGGGGGGCTGGAAAGGGGGATTAGCCAAAAATGTGGGCGATTTTTAACGCCGGGGGGATTTTAGAACCAAAATCTTTTTAAGAAAAAAAAATTCAAAAAATTAAAATTCTGTTTAGAGATACTTAGTTAAATTTTTTAACCCCGTGGTGGGAGGGGTCAGAATAACCCACATTTTCGTTTTAACACCAGTATTACCCAAGGCCAAAGCTTGAGGAGGGGGAATATTTAGGAGAAGATGAGTCAGTTGAAGGTGCGTAGAGGAATGGTTTCATCAAAGGACTCCAAAAGAGAAATCGTGAATTTTTATTTTTTGGTAGGGGGGGGTGGGAGGGGGGAAGTGCAGAGTAGGGTGGGGGGGGGGCGGGGGGGGGGGGGGGGGGGGGGGTTTGGTGGGGGGCAGTCGACCAATACTTGGGTGTAGTTGAGCCGCTGGGGGATTTGAAACCCTAACCCTGTTTAGGACAAAAAAATTCCTAAAATACATACCCTGTTTAGGACGACAGTCTCAATTTTATTACCCTGTTGAGGGCAATGGACAAAATGCACGCCGTTTTGCTTTAAAACCAGTTATTGCCAATTGCAAAAGAGTAAATTCACGTTTTAAAATTCCTGTAATAAATCAATCAGTCGTGCAGGATATACCCTTAAAATTATATTCACTGTACTAAAAAGACCGATTCACAAGAGATTATATTTTCCGTGTTTTCAAAATTATGCTGAATTTTCTTTGCTAATCACAAGACAATTTTTTCCAAGCGAAACTTCTTATATGTACTCGATATGTTTTTTTTGTTGTTGTTTTTTTTCTTCTTAATCGTTCGGGACTCAATACGAAAGGACAATTTAAAATGATTTGCATCATTACAGCTACTTTAAGGTGATATGGGCTTCGTACGAATGGAAGATGCTAGAGATAACATTTTACGTACGTCTGCCATTCACTGATTATTTATTCCTGTCGTCAACGAACTTTCTAAGGAAACTTGTTTAAAGCAATGCGATTTCTTCGTTGACGTACTATTAACTGATTGAAATGGCAGGACAAGGAAGTGGATAGAGACTGGTTATTAGAGGTTATATGTAAGTTATTTAAGTAATAGACCACGCTTTCTATGGGTTTACCGGCGCGATAGCCCACGCTGGATTTTGGAAGAACACGAGAAAAGCTTGTAAATCACGAGCTGAAGGCGAGTGATTTACAAGCTTGCGAGTGTTCTCCCAACATCCCAGGTGGGTCATTACGCCGGTAAACCCATAGAAGGTTTGGTCTATTGCTTTTATAAATAACTTTAAGTTTCCTATGAGTTTACCGACGCAATAAACCATAGGTTTTAAACCCAACCAGAACGCCCGTACTATCTTACTTATTTTATTTACAAAAATACATTCTTCAGTCAAACCCCCCTTTACAGATACCCTCTTAATACGGACACCTCATTATTACGGACAGTTTGCTGTGTCCCTGGGGAAAGAAAGCCCTTACATTTTCTCTAAATTCAACCCGCTTAATACGGACACCCCGTCAATACGGAAACTTTCTATGGTCCCCTCAGTATCCGTATTAACGTATGTACTAGTCTGACACCGGGTGAGCAAAATCATTAAACCATTATTCTTGAGGGTTTGAACTAACGAACCTCTGTATCGTGTAATACTTTCGTTGGGGGTTGTCTGGTAGCGTGTCTTTCCTGGCTTTTGGTTCAAGATGCACAAAAAGCGCGATTGTCGAACACACGAACTACCCTCGTTTGACGTCAATGGAGCCCAAAGTAACACGAAATCCAAGCTAACATTAAAACTATAACACGAAAGCAAGAAATCTGAGGTTTCTAGATCACTCGTTTATCGGAAGAGTCCTCAACATCATGTGGAAACAAAGACTTTTAGGTTGCAATTTAGAGTATCTCTAGGTAATAACTTCAGTATTTTGCCCTTCACCAAAGCGCTACACCGCTGAATCGTTCAATTTACCTCTTGCCGTGAGTGGCCCGATCCCATGACTCAATTACGTAATTCAAACTCTGAAAATAGAATTTACATCATCGTTCAATTGGCGTTTTTCGTACCAGTGCTTTAATTATCCTTTACTGCACAGGAATTTCGTCATTCTTCCGCAAGCGAAAAACTTAAAAAGCCTAACGCAATTTTGTTTAATGATGTCAGTGTTATTTCTCATGATAAGCAAATTTGGATTTGCCATTTTAGGAATGGACAAATGTATTTAAATTTTTCGTTGGTGGTTGATCAGAATCGATAATGAAAGTTGTTAGAAAGTGGATTGAAGTTTGATAAAATTATTCAGAAATAGCAGAATTTTATTTGGCACTTTCTCAGTTGTTTTACGTGAGATACATGTATAACCCACAGTTAATTGTCTTAAAACCCTTTTGATTAGAGGCCAGACAGACACTATGAAAACATAACATGTCCACCATGGAAACGAGCAAACTCCGAATCACACAAAAAGCAAAAAGGAAAGAAAAAAAGGCGGTAATTCACCATAAATATGGCACCACCGTCCTCAAAATTGAATCGTTATTTGGCCTTTTTTCCCTCTTGTCTCATACTTTACGTTGTATTTTTACAAACATCCAAAACTGTCCCCCAAGGAATAATTTCCTAACACCATTCAGTCGCAACACACTGAGTAATCCCTTTCAAGTATTGTGGACCTTGTCTTCCGATATTTGGATACGGCCACGACATCTATTTAAACACGAAAAATGTTGACCTAGAAAGACGAACCAAAAATTCATTGAAAAGCATTTTGCATTCGCCCCTTTAGACTTTCTCTGTATATTGGAACATATGACTGGAAAATAAGCAATTAGTCCAGAAGAATCTATTTCCCGTCCTTTGCATGCCTTTTATATGACTACATTATACGCGTGACAAAGGAGCTCATAACAAGTTGTCTGCAAACCACACGGGATGTTTTCCTAGATTTTGCATCAAATCATGGACATTTTTTCAGGGGTAGCAATGAAAGCTTGTGCTACAGCTGTGCAAACGTGCCGAAAATGTGAGCTGTGTTTCAGCATTTGCCGCTATTTCCTGTAGTATTCAAATGTTGAGATTACTGTACCGGGATATTGATTACATGCAATAGTCACTGAACCACGGAGACTGGTCAAGTGCATTCTAAGAAAATTGAGCAATGCATTGTTCTGACGCATTCAGTGGGAAGTGTCAACCTACTAATCACGTCCCAGAGATACTGTTTTTGTGTGAGATAAACCAACTGAAGGTCGTTAAGGTACTCAGTTCAATTTTGACATCGTAGCGTCAACATGTTCCTGCAATTACTTCAGGTTTTCCAAACCTTCGCAGCTTACAGCTTGCTGTTTTTCGTATTTTCAATTGGAGCGTTACTCAAACCAAGGCCACTTTTTCGAGATGTCATTGTCCGAGCTTTCGATGCCGTCACCAGGACAAAGTTGCCTGTGGCCTCTTACTGGGAATCCCTCTTCAGCGATCAGATGTTCCAAAACGTATGGCACAGCGTGGAGTTGGACCTGTACAAGAAGATCAAGGAAGGCTGTAAAGCACCTGACACACCTGTCGTTTCCTTGTCTGCAAAACACTGTTTTTCCCTGTTGAAGATGGCAAAATCTGGACGTCCTCTCGTTCTGAACTTTGGAAGCTGCACCTGCCCAATATTCATGAGCCAGTTAGATGCATTTCAGAAGATGGTCAACGACTTCAGCCAAGTTGCTGACTTTTGTGTTGTTTATATTGAGGAGGCGCATCCCTCTGACGGATGGGCACTAGAGGTAACTTTAATTAGTTCTTCCAGAAAACGCGAAAACTTTAAAAACTATAGAAAAAAAAAGAGAGACAGAAAAAAAAACAACGTTGCCACAAACACATTCTCAACATTCTAGCACTTGGGGGAGTCTCAAACGCATTTTGTCCTGCGGCAAGCGAAACACTTTTGCGCATGTAAATTTTATCTTTAAGTCAAACTTATAATTTCAATGTTACTGAGATACGAGGTAATACTGACTAGCACATAAGAGTGGTATATATTTTCTTATACGCTAATATTGATTGGGTAGCAAGTGCTAACAAATTTATTTTGTTCCAGGACAATTGCGAAATCCGAACACACAGAACACAGAACGAAAGATGCCTCGCCGCCCGAGTATTGGCGCGAAAACTTCCCGGATGTCCAGTAGTGGTGGACACAATGCTTGACGCAGCCAACATTGCCTACGGTGCCCTTCCCATCCGCTTCCATGTAATTGAGGACGGAAGAGTTGCTTATGAAGGTGGGCCTGGTCCTATGGGCTATGACATGATGGGCGTGAGGCAGTGGCTTGAAAAGAACTATGTTACCGTGTCACCGTAGGACAAATATAAAACGTTTCAGTGGAACTACCGAAACATCAAAGCAGAGACATGCGCACAGAAACATGTCTACAGGAGTCAGCACGTAACCTTCTTCATCTCGTCTTCGAGATTTGCCGGATGATAATTTTGCGTCTTGTCGGCTTGAATGAGCAAAGGTATACCGTGAACTTTGTTTGATTAAAAGAGATGAGTAACAGGAGGCAGGTCACTGACATGTTGACAAAACTACCTTAACAAACAAAACTCAGTGCATTAAAAGAGAACAATAGCCAAACTGTCTTGGGTTTCAATTTCAAGCGAACTGGCACGGATTAATTCAGTGGCTATAGCCCATCGCCTTGCTGGCAAAAAGACAATAAAGTGAATAGAGACATATTTATAATGATGTTATTTAAAGAACCTAAAGCCGGGCCGAGCCGAGCCTTACACAACGAAATATCGCCAAGAGAAAATTGAATCAATTAGAAAATATTTAACAGCATGTTTAAGATATTGTATTTTTCGTCAATAAAGCGTTGAAAATTATTTGTGTCCGATTTATCTTCCTTGTTACCTGGATAAAAAGAAAATAGCATAAGGTCTCATTAAACGATATGTTCACCTAGAAAATGACTTATTAAAGCAAAACGTTTTAAGAAAATTTCTCTCCAACACGACAAAATAAATTTTTAGGCCATGTTCGACCAAGTGACAACTGAGGTGCACTTAATTCATCTTATCCAGGCTAAATTAACACTTCTTTAGATCCCTTAAACGGCGCCAGGTAAAATGGAAAGAAAAACACCTCGATATTGGTTCTCGTAAAACTTTACAGACATGAACGTAACGACCAGTAATCTGGCCACTGTTAGACCTTCAGGCCGTGCCAACAACTTCCAGAGCTTTTTATGAAAACCATCGTCAACAAAATCTTTAGGGAAAGTAAGATGACCACTTGTTTTCCTAACAGAAAGGTTCATATTTAATGAGCTAGGATACTCTATACATGTACACTTTGAACCTGATGGATACTTGAGAAGGGCTGGCAACCGAACATTATAATTAGTCACCTACCACCAGCAGCTTATGTAACGAATGGTCACGTGGAAACTCTTCATTCAACAACAACAACAACAACAATCGCACAATTTCATCAAAAATTTCATTAGTTAGATTCCAGTGGGACAGCATAGATCAGTTTACAGTTTAATAACTAACTGGATGACCATCACATAGCTAAGTTTAACCATGACATGACTTGGGGTGCAAGATTAAACAATAAGGGTTGGGGCCAGATTAGTATCAAAAACTACAGGTTGCGGCAACTACATAGAAACATTGATATGTGGTACACGCGACTTATCATCGGTGGTCGCCGACAGAAACTATTCGTTGCACGATAACAATAACAATATCAACAGTCAGAACAATTCATTTGTACTGCAGTTTACAGTCTTCCTCTAACAATTAATCAGTAAAACCGGCGATAAGGAGACTAAACGCCTTTAAAATTTGCGAACTACCTGGATGACCACCATATAGTTACGTTTAACCATCACATGACTCAAGATTCAAGATTAAACAGTAAGGGTTACGGCCAGCTTAGTATCAAGAGACAATGGGTGCGTCAGTTACTATATAGAAACATCGATAAGTGCAAGTAAAGAAGAGTTGAAATATTTTGCGCACGAACTCCTCAGTTATTCGGTTAAGCTGTTATCTACCTTACACAGATATTTACGACCGAAGATTGAGTCTTTTGACAGTTTGCATGTAAGTGAGGAAACCAATCGATTGCCTAATGCCACGATCAAAAGACACGAATCAAGTATCCTAACTGGTGTCATGCGCATTGGCTTCTACCAACATGGTTTTGACTGTCATCACGTAAGAAGCTTTTTTCTTCAAAGTAGTAGCGGCATATAGGAAGTTTTCATCATGTTGTCATAAAAGCTTAAGCCATACTTTCCTTCGTTATAACTTTCTCAGATGCTTAAGTCGCGTAGAAATTAGAAGCCTGCTTTTCGTGATTAATTTTATAGCGTTTTTCATGGCACGGCGCATTAGGTCAGAGGATCATTGTCGTCAGCCATCCTTTACATAGTAACCAAATCACATTTGCCAATTCGGAATACGTAGGGTATCGGATATTACGCGTTTGCTTTTAATAACGAACTTTTGGTGCCCTCGTTAAGACTGGAGAAACCCAGTGCAATGCGCGTACATGGCCCCAACAAAGCTGGGAAAGTTGTGCAAACGGATCCAACATTGTTGCGCTACGTTTCGGTGATCACGGAACTGAAAAGAAATGTTAGGAGTGTTGGCTCAAAAGTTTGACTGGTTTCAAACTTTTCGCAACAACTCCCAACAACATGCAACAGGGTGCGCAAACGGACGCAATATAAGTAACACGCAACATGGAGTTGCCAACATTGAGGCGTTCGTTTGCACAGGGCTGGAGGCTACTTGACACGCTAGGTGCCCGGCATAATGGGAACACTACCAAAACAAGTACAGGTAGACCTCGAATTCAAAAATATGTGTGAAAGATGATTTTGCCTCTAAACATTGACGACTTTCGTCACGTGGCTTTGCCTGCCAAACCAAGATGGTGAACTCACGTGGTCACATTCCCGAGCATTTCAAAGGCTGCGTTGAATAATGGCGTTCTCTTTCAACCGAAAAGGACGAACTTTTTTTTTCGCGGAAACACAATCGATGAAAGTATTTCAGTGGAATATTGTAGTCCTCTGTAACTCTGCATGCGTGAACCAAGAAGTCTGCAATGAGAAAGGAATGTGACCACGGGAGGTAACTTTTTGAGTTTCCCAAACAAAGTCACCTGACCTGTCGTTTAAGTCCGACTTCAAAATCAACTGTCAAGCGTATCTTTCGTGGTATATCCGTCTCGGTAGTACCCAGGCTTAGAGGGCAAATTAGCCTGAAGATGTACTGGAAACAAATGTGCTAAATACTTTTAGAGAGAGTCAAACAACGTTTCCCAAGCGCAAATTTTACTTGATCTATCTATGCTCTTTGACTACATTCTATGGGTCGGGCACCTCCCTGGGAAGTACATGGCCCTGTTAGAGAGAGTCCACCTTAGGCAATCATCACACTAACTTGTCTTAAAGCAGTAAACAACTTTGTCGAAGAACAAAATTTAATTCTGACAAATGTACGGTCTTAATACTGAGTACAATCCATAACCTAAGAAAAGAAAGGAGGAAGTGCAAATTTCTATGATATTCACGTTGACCTCCGCAAAGTGTTTTTAAACACGTTGTTTTAAAGTATTAAAATACTTAAAGTTGACTTAGACTTTTATAACTCTAACATTTTTTTTAAACCCGCCCGACACCCGATTACTTTGGACTGGAAGTCGACGACTCCGACGTACCCGATTCTTCACACGGTAGAGATCGTAGACTGTCATGTTCCCTCTTTATTATTATTTCTAAAAGCATATCTTCTTCTGTCTCAGTAAGTGAGAAAGTCCTGAATCTGTCCCGTAACGATGTCAATTTCTTGTTAAGCTCTTTGAAAGTGTTATCCAATCCATTTTTCTTGTATTCTGCTCTAAACAAGTTGTCTTCGTCGCTGGAATCGTCCACTGTCCATTTCTCTTGAGGACCGATAGTATTGGCCAGCAGGTTAAACCCGAATAAATCTTTGAACTTCTTCATTAAGAACTCTACTAGTTCAGGGTCCGTCTCAGAATCTATCATCGTGGATTCTCTGTCCTCAAAAGCAGCGTTTATTATGGACACAAACATGTTTAGAAGGATGAGTTCCATGAGAACACTGTAAGTGAGAAAGAGGGCAGGGCCAAGGACCCGATTCACCTGCTCTAGGTCGTGAAAGTAGGATGCTCCTAAAATGGCGTTAAGCATTGCTTGAAATGAAGACGGCAGAGAAATAAAATCCTCTAAATGAGCACCAAACCATATGTGAGCCATAAGCACGAAAGGAAGAAACCACAACATAAATTGCAATGTGAATAGAATAATTTCCTTGTGCATGTTAGAAAACGTTCGACTGAGTAGTTTGATGTGATTGTTGTACCTCAAAAGGTATAGAAACTTGATTGTTGTGAGAAAGACAACAAATGCTATCATGTAGGTATCAATCGCGCTCCACGTTAGCAGCATGGAGAAACTGACGAAAATAAATGGATTCTCGCTGAGATCTTTCATGGTTTCGTTGATGCTTACCATCTTAACAAAATACAGAGCGACGGACACTAACGCGAACAAGACTTGAAAAAGATCAACGAGATTCCAGAATTTTGTGAAATATGACAGTCTTTGATGGTATAACCGCTTGATAACTTTGTAAAGAAAAAATATAATCACAAGACAGATGATAAGCTCGGCGGCCAATGTCACATTACCGAGTTCTCCCAGGTACCTGTAGACACGTATGGTGTCAATCCTACGGAAGGTAACTACACCTCCTGTCGGCATTCCCTCAGCTAGAAGGGTGATGACGCTGAAAAGGTTTACTTGCGCGTTATAGACTGTCAATTCGACGAAGATTCCACGAGATCGACGATCAAGCCATTTGTGTTGCGCGAGTTCTAGAATTACATCTTGCGCCTTTGAAATGTAGTAGCCAAGCTCTGCAACATACCCTCCCCCAGAGTACATGGTTGTTTTTCCCCACATTGGGACCCCTTTCAAATCACTGGCCGTGTGATAACGCCATGGCCTTGGACAAAGCTCATGTGTTATGTTTTCTGCTGGTGTGTTTGGAGGAACAGGGATCCAGTCGGGTTGATAAATAGCCATGTCTTCGTCTTCCATTGAATATAATCCATAGCAATCATTTAAGAGAAACTTCTCGACTGTTGGAATGTCATAACCGCAAGAATCTAAGAAAAGACATATTAAGTCAGTGTGATTCTGTTTTGTTCGAGTAAGCTTCGCCAGGCTACATTCCTAAGTAACGTTAGCTCTACGAAAGACGCTAACAATACGATTAAAAACTATCTCATCCGCGTAACTGAGTTAACCGCTGAACTTTAAAAAAGCCTCCTTGTGCACACTTTATACAATTTCAGCTTTCCAAACAAAAATAAATGGATGTTTTATTTTCACAGACCCTCTATTTTCTCAATATATCGTCAACTAAGCGTAGGATATTAAAAACCTCAGGGTTTTTATTAAGGGTTAGCACAATTGGGTGGGACTTCCAAATCCTCGAGAAAAGAAAAGAAAAAAACAATGTCTGAAGACCGATTAGTATTAGAAAGGCGCACTGGCTTTTTCATTAAGTAAACTTAGATATAAAATTCTTTTTTATCCTTACCTTCCTTAATTCTTAGCTGTCTGATCCTTGTCATGCCAACAAGAGCCGAGCACCTATCACTAATCAGTCCATCTTCGGATGCGGATGGAGCCTGGCCATTATACCATGGACGTACAAAAATTATCGGAAGAAGAGACGTTAGAGCCCAGCCCCAAACGTCTATATATTTTGAAGCCTAAAATAAACAAATAG